TGCTTATGTAGTTGTATATACAGCTGTGTTTAATATATTTCAGAATTAGTAGGACGGAAAGTCTTATTAGCATTAACAAATACTGGGCAATATACTTTAACTACAGGTTTAGAATTAAACATTTACAGAAAGATTACTACCTTTCTGTTAATTGCCAGATTAACCGATCTCTTTGTCCTTGATCTATGAAGAGTTTTGACAAAGCTGGCTGCCTACTTGGGATGCTTTCACTTTTGTGATAATAACATTCTTTTAACTGTTCCTGTTTTATCAACTCATAATGACCCCCAGCTCCCAACCCCTTCTGTGCACCATCTCTTCTTTCCCCCACAAACTTTCTCCAGGTGGTTTATTTAGGCTAGGCTAAACCTAGCTTCTGTGTACCATCCATTCAGTAGATTCCATATAGTGCTTGAGAGGAGGGCTTTGGATATGCCTGGGCTTGAATGGCAACTCCATTCAATGGTTAGCCTTTTTTTTTCTTTTGTTTCCTCAATTGTAAAACCAGAAGGGTGATTGGGAGGATTCAGTGAGTTAATGTATAAAGCATCTAAAACAGTGTTGTGGCCTTCAGCAAGTATAAGCTCTTACTGTTTTTGATTTAGTTGCATTTCTAGTGTCTATCCTGTGTTCCAAACAAATCATTTAAAAAAAAAATCCTTTTTGCCACATTTCCTTTTGAAGCCCTACAAAATTCAAAATTTGTTTTCTCTGACTTGCGTACCTGGCTCTCTAGTGAGTATTTCTTATTTTTCTGACCTATTAAATATTGTTTTAATGAAGACAAACCATTTAACAGTGTTTATCAAGTTTTTATTGGACACCACTGAGTGCCAGGCATTGATGTTGAGGATTTATGTATGAGTAAGACAAGCCCTTGGTTTCCCTGAGATTATCTACGTGATAATGGAGAGAGTAGTTGTAAATACTATGCAAAATATTAAGATGATATAAAGAAACTGAGTGGCAATTTTAGATAAGTATTTCACAATTACCCATTCTAGAGTTGACATGGGACATAGCATTCCAGTCAGGGACCAGCTAATGTAAAGCTTGTAAAATTGAAAAAAGCTTGGAGGGAAATGCGAAGAGGCTGTGACAGGTGCAGTTGGGTCAAGGAGTGGCAAAATAGTAGGAGGTAGCCTAGGAGAGATAGGGACTAGATCTTGTAATCTGAAGATTTACATCTGAAGGAGGGAAATAAATTTAGCTTATTTTTTGGCAGCCGAATTTAGGAGATGTCTGTTTTAAAGGGTAGTTAGCATAAATATACAAATCAGTGAAAAGCAGACACTTCAGTGTAACCAATACAATAGTTATCTTTATACTTGTTTTTATGTCTAAGATGAATTTTCTACAATATTTGAGGATATACTATGAATCACTGCTGGTAGCTTTATATTTGATTTAATATTTAGACAAGCTAAGTGTAGCTATTTCACAGCTGAGGAGACTGAGGATCAGAAAGGATATTATAGTCAACACTAGTAAGAAATGGTTTGAAATGTCTGCTTATTAGCCAAAAGTGTCAATTTGCTTTAGAGGATGAGTTATTCAATTTTAGAAAAGGAGTTTTGAATACTAGAAATTTAAAATTTGCATATAATGCATTTTTTATTCTGGATTTATTTTAGAAAATTATAAAATCACAGCCCCCAACATTAGTGCACCTAAAATATAAGGATTCCTTAATCTGAAACTGCATTCAGGAAGCACAGCATTAAGTAATGAGGCAGATAGATGCTTGGCACAAATCAAATGGCTGCCGAGTACTGGAAGTCTCTGAGACGAGAAAATAATTTTTGAGGGCCTCTCATTTTACATATCTTTTAACACGATAACACTATTAAGTTTTAAAATTTTTTGTTCTTAGGTGAACTAAAGCTTGGAGAGGTAAAACCAAAACTCTGCCTGACATGTGATGAGGATAGTGACTTGGAATACAAAACATGTGAGAGACATTTCAATGGATGGCGACTTATTAGAAATGACTTAGAGTGTTCTTTAAAAGTGGGCACTTAAGTAATAATTATATGTGAAGTGACAAATGTGTGTAGTGGCCAGTAAATATTAGCGTCTAATAGGAGCCAGAAACCTTCCTAGGTGATGGCTGGCAATGTAGCAGGTACAGCCAAGCCTACTCTCAGGAAACTTGTATTTTTTAAGGGAGGGAGGGTGGCAACAAACATGTAAATAAGTAATTTCAGTCCTCATTACTCCTGGGTGCACACAACTCATTAGGTTCTAGCAATAAGCCTTTAAGGAGGAGGACTTTATTTTTTAGAAGGATTAACAGGTACAGTGGGGTTAGCTACTTTTCTAAGATCACTTGGCTAATGGGTAAAACTAGTTAAGGAAGAGAATGTATTAGTGACTGGGTTTAATCTTTACTGAGGGTGATGATAATAAGCCTCTCCAAAGAGGTAACATTTGAGATCTGAAGTGAAGAGAAAGAAGGCAGCCTTGAGATCTGGAAGAACATTCCAAATAGAAGGAAGAACAAATGCAGAGAACTTGAGTTTGAAGTTTGTTGCATTTAAGGGTAATAAGGCCAGTATGGCCCCACAATAAGCAGGTGATAGCAAGAGGTGGGTAAGGGCTAATTTGAGGGTGGCCTTGTAGTTTGGATTTTATACTGTTGGTATAGGATCTGAACAGGGAAGTAATGATGTGAATTAGTGAGGAGACTCAGGAAGAGATGTCAGGTAATTGTGATGGCTTGGGTTAGAGTTGTAGCAGTGAAGATGGTGATAAATGGTCAACTAATATGATACCTTGGAGATAGAATTTACAAGACTTACGGATTGGATTTTGAATG